GGAGCCGACTTGCCACTCCCCAAGGACAACCTGGATCCGGCGCTGGTTTCGGGCACCTCCTGTGGCCAGGGGGACACCCCCAGCAGCCTGCCCGGTGAGTGGGGAGATGCAGGAGTTGAGGGTGTGGAGTGGGCATGGGGCACCCAAAACCTGAGTGGGAGGAAAATACAGCCGTCCCCTGAAAACCCAGGGCATGGTGGATCTGGGAAAGAGGCAAGAAGCCCCAGAAAAGAGGGCACGGTGTGAGCAGTCCTCGGTGGGAGTGCAAACAGGAGCCCCCTTGTGGGCAGCCGCCATGCAGAGGATCAACAGGCAGGTGGGGGCTGCCCTCCCCAGGCGGCCAGGTGGCCGGCGACCCTTTTCCCTGCTGTGCAAACTGAGGTTGGATCTGAGCCCCAGGTACCCACGTGGGGAGGGCTCAGCCTGCAGGCTCCCAGGTCACAGAGCACAACAGGACAGACCGGGGACGCACGGGCAGCACCCTGACCCAAGACTCAGTGGACATGGCTGTGAAGCCAGGGGCACCACCGCCATCCACAAAGGCTGTGAAGGTTCCAGGTTTGACAAGATGTCCCTGCTCACCACTACACACGCGCCTTGTACAACATCCTCTGCACTCCACCGCACCTGCTCCTGCCTGTGGAAGCCCAGGGTCCCCCATCCCTTCCTGGCCTCGCCTACCACATGCAGCCCCCCAGGTCCACACATGGCCCCCCTCCCTGGGCCTCGCGCACAGCTGACTGTTCTGTCAGGCCACCCCAAGCACCTCCTTCCCTAGACCTGCGCCCCCTTCATGCCCACATGTGAGTCCAGCAGACCCCCAGACCTAGCTCCCCCACCCCCACTGGGGGCTCCCCCACAGCCCCTGCTCACCTCCTGCCTGCTCAGGCTCTTCAGCCCGGACCCCTTAAGCAGGTGTTGGGCAGGGCCCGCCCCTCCCTGCCCCAGCTCCTCTCTCCCCACAGGGTGGCCCAGCCCCTCCCCTGTGCTCCGTGGCCCTGTGTGACCCTGTGGCCTAGGGGCGCCTCTCTGCAGTCAGAATTCCCGGCCAGGTCGATGGCCCTGTGTTCTCCCAGGGTGACATGTTCACACAGCTGGAGTGGAGGAAGGGATGGCAGAATGGCGTTTCAGGGCCTCTGCAGGACTCCTCAGGAACCAGGGTGCCACATTCCACAGCCACCCGCACCCTGGAAACTTCTCCCAGAGGGTGGCCAGGAGCCCCTGGAGCCGTGGTGGGTCTGTCTTTGCAGGGAGGAGGGGGTAGCTTTCCTCTGATAAGGTGAGAATTTGTCCAAACAGCAGTCCTAAGAGAAGCAGGAAGAGACCACCCCAGGAATTACTTTTCACACAGGTAACTGCGCCCCTCCACCCCTCCATGTGATGGGCCTCTCTTCTCCCCTTGTGGGGCAGCGGCAGGCTATGGGGGAGGGACCCTGAGTGTCTTGCAGCGCAAACCAGGTTGGTCAAGGCCAAGGGTCCAGTGGGACCACGGGGGACTCTGTGCCCCCGTCTGCTGGCACCTCGGTTTATAGAAGCAATTTTCCACTGTGTTGGCGGAATTGTTCTCATATTTCTGTGTAAAAATATTCACTGGGCGCCACGACTTCCACTCAGAAAGATTTTTGGAGCCAGGTAACGAGGTCTGGATTGAAACCAGGTGCCAGAACGCAAGGCCCGCTCAGCACCCCGAGCTCACCTCGATGTGGGGCCGGGTCAACTGCGCAGCTCCAGCCTCAGGCTCTGCCTGTGCACTCACCTGGGAGGGGACGCAGCGCGCGACAGAAACGTGGCTCCGCAAGCGAGTGAGCATGGAAGCAGCACAGCCTGCCCCGCCCGCGGGCTCACAGAGGTGTCCACTCGTCTGCCGGCTGCAGACAGGGTTCCCCACCCGGACAGGCCGCGCAGTGAGGGGAGACAGCAGCCCAGAGAGCTCCGGCCAAAGGGAACTCAACGAAAGGCCTGGGGTCCATTTGCACCAGAGAATCTCCGAGGTCACTGTCCCTATTGAAGCTACTTACAATGTCTCTCCTGAGCTTGGGAAGCCTAAGAAATGTGCGTCCAGGGCAGAAACTCTGAGTCCCGTGCCCGTCTCACCCTAGTCACAGCTGCCATGAGTGCCTGCCACAACCAAATACAGTGGTGGTGGTGGCAGCACAGCCAGAGACCAGGACAGTTCTCATGAGACCCTCGTGCTCACCAGGAGCGACCCCTCCCCCGCCCTGGCCGCTCCTCCTACCCGCAGTCCCGGACAAACTGTTAGGTGCAGGCTCACAGAAGCGCTGCCGGATTTGACCCGTCCCATGTGTGGCTGCTCCTAACAAAGCACAGGATAGCAGCTTTGCCTCCCTCGACGTTGACTTCTCTCTCATGTGAAAGCCCAGAAGCCAGAGTGAGGTACTTTCCTGTCACTAGGGACCCCAGTTCCTGCTTCCTATTCTGCTACTTTGTCATCTTCATGTACCACCTCATGGTCCTAGACAGCTGCACAAGCTCCAGCCATCATACCCCTATCCCAGCTAGCCAGAAGGGAGAGGCATCGGGGGCCAGGAGAGGGGCTGTCCCTTCTAAAGAAGCTTCCTGGAGGTGCTAGGCCCACTGCCACTCACCCCTCATTACGCAGACCTTGGTTACACGGCCACACCAGGTCACACAGAGACAAGACATGCAGTTTGCCCACAGAGGCCGAGTTCTGTTACCAGAGCAGGGGAGAACGGATGCTGCGAGTCAACCAGCCGTCTCCAGCAAATGGAAATTCCTCATCAGCATAAACCTACTGTGCCCTGTCGGCGCACAGAGGAGCTCTGGGGAGGGCTCGTGCACAAGGATCTGGACCTCCAGCCACCCCTGCAGGATGACGGGAGCCAGAGGTGGCATGCTCACTGTGCATCTGTGGCCAGGGAAGCAAGTGGAGCTGCCCTGTCTGTGCCCCGCAACCCCTGCAATCTCACCCTCTAGCGCCTCAGGACTGCAAAGCCCTGATGAATGGAGCTGCCAGTTTTACAGTTAAAACCCAAGGCTGGTGGTGAACGTGGTGACTCTGTCAGACCAACGGAGAGTGTGGGAGATGGGCTCCAATCCTGCCAAGAGGGTCTCGCAGAGTTTGGGGCACAGCTCCGTTAACTTGGGCTAGCAAGGTGTCCCCTGGGCAGCTGTGCACATGCGGCACCCCCAATGGACCTGGCTGGGCTTCGCATCACAGGACCTGACGGGCTGTACCTGCAGCCTTTGCTCCTGGGTTGTGCTGGGTGTGGGATGGTGGCGGGCATCTGCCTGCCAGATGGGCAGGGGTGAGCTCCCTCTGTCCAGCTCCACCTGCCGTGTGAACACGCTGGAAGGTGACCATCGATCCAACAGAACCTTCTTGACAACCTCTGGATTTCACACCCTTGGAGCGGTTAAGGGTTTCCATTCTCAGCGGCACCTGGAGCCCAGCCGGGAGGTCGGCTGCCCAGGAAGAGGAGGGAGGGAGGGAGGCTCCCAGCCCGCCTAAGAGAAGCAACGCAGCATGAGTCAGGCCTAAAATTAAGGCAGAGCGGGCGTTGTCTCTCACTGCAAAGCAATTATCCATGTTTAACGTGTTCCTGAAGCTCGGGATTCAACAGCCAGGGGTAGATGGAACACTGTCCCCAGCGGGGGGAGCAGCCCTGCCCCCTGCGGTGCCCCCATCCTCCAACCCCCTCTCCCCCACACCGATTTCTCTGCATTGAAGGAAACATGACCAAGTGAGTTCACCCAGCCTCTGGAGTCGCTGTATCCAACCTGAGTGTGGTGCTGCAGCTGGGTGCATGGAAGGCACCCCCACGACCACCCTGCTAGGTCAAGGCCACTGGAGTCTCCCAGGAGTCTGCCCCTGCAGCCAGTGGGGAGTTGGGGGGAGTGTGGCCTTGGTCCACTGCCCACAGCCTGGGAGGCTGGAAATTCAGCCCAGCCCCCCCATGCCCAGGAATGGGCCTCCCGGGGTTCACTTAGCACCTCCTGGCTGCCCGGTGGGCTGGAGCTACTCTGGACGCCTGCCCTGTGCTGCCAGAGCCCCCACCGAGCGTCAGCCCCCAGGGTCTTAGCCGTCCCCAATGAAGACAACAAACCCTCCAAAATCTTGGTTTTCATTGATACAAAGAAGCAAAATGAAGAAAGAAAATGCTTTCTCTTTCCAGAGGCCTAATGTCAGTAATATGTAATTGCAAAACGCGGTATTTTATTATTTTGTTGATATGAAATCTTCCAGTTGTTTGTTCTTAACGTTTGAATAGATGATTTGCCTTTCGTGCAGAAAAAAGACAATTTCCTAGACGTGGACTATTGCCAGATATTCTAAACCCTATTTTGGTTAAATTACAGCACCCAGATTTTAGTAACAAAGCACATTGATTTTATATTCAAAAAGATTTTTATATTTAGTCTCTTAACCTCCTGTAATTCCCACCCACAGCTTTAAACGTGGAACCCTTTTGTGTTCCTCGTTGTCAGTGGGGGGTCTTCCTCGCCCGTAATTTAGGCCCATTGAATCCTAATGCAGGTGCCGAGGACTGCAGGACGGACGTTGTCAGGCGACCGGGCCCTGGCGGCTTGAACAATCCCCCATAAATTGGATTTGGGAACCGAAGAAGCCATGGCAGGACGAGGATGTCAGATTGCTTTTTTTTTTTTTCTTTTTTTTCTTTTTCTT